AATTATCCCCGATTCCCTAGCTTCTCCATCTTTATTTCGTTTATATTTTTAGGTAGATTATTATTTTTATTTTGTTTCTTAGTTAATAATTCATCCAATCTGCTATCTGATTAGAGTGTTTAGGATTTATTTTCTTTTTATGTGTTGTCAATATTAAAAGCTAAATTCCGAACCGCCTTCCTTGTGAGATCGTCTCGGGGAACGAATCTTTTGATTCGGTACTCGGTAAAATGAATAATTTGTGCTACAACACGGATCAATCGCTCAATCTCATCCTTCAAATGCCTACAATTCTTCGTGGTATGGCCATAATCCCTGTGAAACCGACAATAAAGATCCGACTTAGGACGAGTCGGACCCATAAACCTCGTTTTTGGCCATGTCACATCCTCACTCTCCATTTTCTGCTTCATTGTCTCGAGCACCTCCGCCATATCTTTCCTCAAGGGCGTGAAATTGTGGTACCTCTGCCTCATGAATAGCAGTGGCCTCCCCTCACATCGATCATCCCGTTTTGCTTGCTTTGAATCTCGCCCATCTCCCCTGGGGGGATACTCCCTTCGGTCCGCCCCGCCTGGGTGAACCTCTTCTGGGCGACCTCCCTCTCGATGGGATCCTACCCTTCTTCGGCTCTGGTCGAGCAACTCCCTCCAGCTTGGCAAACTCCGCCTCCATCTCCTCCAGATTGATATACTTCTTACACCTCTTCAACACATCCTCATACGATCGAGCAGGGGTTTTTGCCAACGAAGTTCGACAGGGCCCTGCTCGAAGACTCCTTATCAGTCTACCCGTCTTCACCTCATCAGACGCCGAATGCACCTCCAAACATGTCTGATTATATCGAGCCACATAAGTCTCAATGATTCTTTCTCCCATTGCTTCATCGCCATCAGGGTTAAATATGTTTTCTCTTGAGCCACTGCGCTCGAGTACTGATTAGTGAGCTTGCTAGCAAAATCCTCAAAGTCCACGATCGACCCTGGGGGCAACTGGTGAAACAAAACGAGTGCTCCGCCCCGCAAGGTCGATAAGAAAGCCTGCAACATACAGAATGAGAATATCCATGCAACACCGCCATATTTTCGAAAGTTCTCACATGCCTCGACGGGTCAGATGACTTATCAAACACCAAGTTGGTCTCTCGGAAATTGTTCGGCAAAGGTGCAATCAAAATCTCCCTCGAGAAGGGATGTCCTCGCGCCCTCCTGTCCTGCCTCCCCTCGACCTTGTCCTGCAACTGGCACGAGAATAATATTAATATACATTAAATATTTATCATTATATAAAAAAGGAATATTATTTCTATAAATGTTAAAAATAATATTGACATTATACGAGAATAAATTTATAAATAAAATAATATTTGAATATTAGCATGAACCAAAATATGTAAAACTATTTGTTTGTATTAAAAATTAAATATATATGTCAAAATGTTATTTATATTAATATAAATGGATCAACGAGCTAATACAATGTTAAAATAAAATTTTGCAAAAAAAAAAAAAAAAAAAAAAATTATTACGAAATCCTCGTACATCGCATGGGATTCTCACTAGTTTATATATCAATCTTAGACTTTTAATATTCATTATTATTTTTTTTATTATTTTTTTTTTGGTACAAAGAAGGAGGCCGAATCCTAGGTTACTACTCGACGAGGGTATGAGACCCCGATAATATCATGCTCTAGCCAAATTCCCAAGTCCCGAGGAGGTGATGTTACTCGTTGAAAGCCCACCGGATAAGATGCCGCCAGCCCCGCCAAATACTCTGTTGCAAAGTTTGCTTCCCTATGAACATGTTGGACTCTAACGATCCACTCTCTTTGGACCAGACCACGAATTGCCTTTACCAGCGAGCCATGTGCCCCATAAACTGCTTCGCGATTGCGCACCATTTTCGCCACGCATGAACTATCCACCTCGGCAATCACTTGACGATATCCCATGTCCCAAGCTAACTGCAATCCTTGAAAGAGCCCCAAAAGCTCGGCACCCGTAATAGTACAATGCCTAATATTAATTACAAATCCCTCAATCCAGTAGCCCATTTCATCTCGGATTAGCCCGCCGGCACTACTCAACCCCGTGAGATGATCGAAAGCTCCATCACTGTTCAATTTAACCCAACCCAAAACTAAAGGAGTCCAATGAATCATTTGAGTAGCATGCATCGTTGCACCTGCCTTCGCATAAGCCGCTTCTATCCGGGAGTAGCAATCCACAAGCCGCAACACTTCATCCCTTCTACCTCTGCCGGTAGTGATTTATTTTCAAAAATCCTTTCATTGCGCCACTTCCACGTCTGCCAAGCCGCGATCGAGAAAATGTAGCTCCAACTCACCGGGTTTCGACCACGCCGCAGCATCAGGTTTTTATGTAACCAAATTTTGATGGGCTGGTAGAAAAGAGAACCGTCGTGATCTGCCGAAAGTAGTTGCTCCCAAAGGGCTTTGGCAGACGGGAAATCCCAGAGCGCATGGGTGACGGATTCAACCTCCCCATAGAAATTGCAGTCGGGGGATCCCGCTATGTGCCGCCGCACACGCTCGCCGTTAGTGAGAAGATATGTTCAACCTCCCCAGAAATCGTTTGACGAGGGTATTTGACTTCAAGCTTACGGACAACTTGGGTAAATATTTGAAAATGCCAGTTGTTCATGGTCGCATTACCAAAGATATGTTTAACCATATTTTGGAGAGGTCGGAATCACGGCTAGCGGGATGGCGAACAATGTCCTTATCTCTTGCAGGTCGAGTGACCCTCACTCAGCTGGTCTTAAGCGCGCTTCCCTATTACTCGATGCAGATTACAATGCTCCCAGGAACTATCACAGATGGGCTCGAGCGGCGAAGTCGTGCTTTTGTTTGGGGTGGATCTGATGGACGTAGAAAATTACACCTGGTAGCGTGGAAGGATCGAATTATTTGGGGTTTCTCTAATGATGGGAGATTCTCGACCAAATCGGCATACCAGGACTTATCTCATGGGGTGTGCGACTTAGATCAACCTCTATGGCATCTTATCTGGCAAGCCCCAGCACCTCAACGAGCCCGTACATTATTATGGTTGGCAGCCAAAGAAATATTCATTTTTCACTAGGCAAATTGTTAAGTTTGTAAAGTATCAATTTTTACCTTATATGGCACATTTAAAATGTTGGAAGGAGAAAAAAAAAGTCCAAATCTATATATATAAATTAAAAGTCAACCTATTTACCAAAAATAGAAGCAAGAAAAGTCAACACACATTTAATGCATACCTTATTTAGAAATTTTTTACTATATGCATTAAATGCTTGCATATTTACATTTATTATCCAGATATGATCTTAAAGATTTTTCCTTAAATAATTTATGCAATTATTTTACTGATATCCATTATAATTAATATTTGTCGAGTAATATTTTTTAATTTTTATTTAATTATATAAAACTAATATTTTTTTAAAATAATATTATTTATCATTTAAAAGATAATGATCACATCATTAAATAATTTTATTGATGGTTAGATAATAAAATTATATTAGTTATTCTTTAAAATTTTTGCTAAAATAAAAACAGGCTTAAGAAAAAAAAATCCCATAACATCCGATAAGTCAAAAAAAAAAAGTACGTAAAATCTTTACTAAAATAAAAAAAGACTTTATTTATTTGTCTTATTCCATAATAACATCGATTTAGTCAAAACAAATCCCATAATCGGTGAAGTCAAAAAAATGTACGTAAAGCCTATTTATACTAAAAAAAGGCAGATTCAAAATTTCTTATCTAATTTCTGTTTAAAGCATTTTATTTAATATTTATTTATATGAAATATTGGATAGGATTGCTGGATCTGAGTCAATTTTGAAATCGCGTTGTTTGGTATGAGAGGATTATCTGCATCCTATATCGGTTTAAAGCATACTATTTTATATTATTTAATTAATTTATTTAATATTAAATTTTTTTATCCATGATATCAGTTTTGTCAAAAAATTGAACAAACAAACAAATAAAAAAGAAATGACATTAATTACCTTCGACTTGTAAAAAATTTATGGGTGGACGTAAATATTTAACAATGCTGTTTTCAAGTTCATTAAATAATACTATAACTATGATATTTAAATATAATATATTTTATGAGTGACGTAAATATGTTGTTTAAAGTTCCTTAAAATATTTTTTTAAAAATTATGCTGTTTAAAGTTCCTTAAATATTAATATATTTAAAGTATACACATGTTGTAATATATTAAAGTCAAAACAATGTTGGAAGGCTTTTGAATTATCTAAGTTAATTAATTTAAATGTTTAATCCCATTAAATCTTCAATCCATGGAATATTTTTACTAATCCCGTGAGCATGTTGTTTTGTTATTGTAATCAACTTATACACTATTTTACTAATAAATTATTTAATATCTATGTACAAGAAGGTCTTTAATAATATATGTTTTTTTTTCTTCAGATACTATTTTATTGTATAATTTTCCTGCGTACTATAAAATTTTTATTGAATATTGCATCTTATAATATAATATTCCCTAAATAAATATAACTCGTGTCTCGCACCGGTCCCGTACTATATATATCCCGTATATTTTTTATTCATTTATGTAATTATAAGGCTAGATAAATAACTTTAAAATTGTGCATCCCGTGCATCGCACGGGCTCTGTACTAGTACTTCAGGAAAAGGTGTCCCTATAAATATTAAAAAAAAAAATAGATTTTATATATAATAAATCTTAGACTTTAAATATTCACTAGGCAAATTGTTAAGTTTGTAAACTATCAATTTTTACCTTATATGGCACATTTAAAATATTGGAAGGAAAAAAAAATAAAAAAAAATTCCAAATACTCTATGAAAAGGTGTCCCTATAAATATTGAAGGGCCGCGTCTTGTAAAACCTGTCACTTGGATTGTGTGTGTACCCTAAAAAGAGAGCAAATCAAGGTTTAGCTTCAGAAATAAGGTTTATTTAGAGAAGATTAGATAAAAATGTGCGGCAAGTTACAGGTCGTAACCTCAAAGGCTTCCTCTGTCTCTGTTCCTCAAGACAGAGACAACAATGGCCATCACCATCATCCCCTTATCAATCTTGATCAGTATGTGTTTCTCTGTTCACTTACTGTGTGTTTGTGTTTCTTTTTTCTTTTTTTTTTCCCTTTTATATTTGTGTCTTTCTACATTAATGGAGAATTAATAATTGTAACTGCAATTTATGCTTTCTTTTAAATTAATAATTGTAACTGCAATTAATTTTTCTTCTCAATTCTTGTGACAATAGTGGTGATCCTACAATGTACGAGTCTTACTGGAAAGAGATTGGCCAAAATTTGAGCCTTGAAATCCCTGGATTTGAATCTCTGAGTTACTTTTCGAATCCAAAGAAGTTGTGCTGGTTCCTTGAGCCAAAACTGGAGGACCATATCAAAAAGGTGCACGAAAAGGTGGGCAATGCCATAACCGAAAACCGACACATAATAGTCGGGACGGGCTCGAGCCAACTCATTCTGGCTGCATTGTTCGCCCTTTCCAGTTCGTTAAACGAGCCAAATCCGGTCAGCGTCATCTGCCGGGCCCCATACTACTCGGTTAGCCTAGTTAATTAGAATGTTTTGGATCACCTGACAGGACAAAACATAGTAACATGAACATATGTGTACTTCTTTGCCTGATTGAATGTTGATTTAGATTTATGGTTTGTTATTAAGAAATAAAAAAGTTTGCAATTGATATTGTCAGTCGTATCCTGAGATGAGCGATTTTCTACGATCGCAACTGTTTGAGTGGTGGGGAGATGCCGGTCTGTTCGACAAGGAAAAGAAGGATGGACCGTACATAGAGATGGTGACCTCCCCAAACAACCCGGACGGCACTATCAGGCAACCCATTGTTAATGGGCCCAAAGGGATGCTTGTCCATGATCTCGCTTACTACTGGCCTCAATATACAGCCATTACATCCTCTGCAGATCATGATGTCATGCTTTTTACTGTTTCTAAGTGCACGGGACATGCTGGATCGCGTATCGGGTATGTGCTGATTTTCAATTATTACTATTATTACGACTTCTAAAACAGAGTATTTAGGCTTATAAAATTTTTTGCTTTGTTTGTAAATTGAATATGAAGATGGGCTATCGTGAGGGACGAGAATGTTGCAAGGAAGATGGTGAAATTTATTGAGATCAACACAATTGGCGTGTCGAAAGAGGCGCAACTCAGGGCTGCAAACATCCTTGAAATAATTTCTCTAAGCTGCACGCACCCAAACAATCATCTTCCCAGTTTCTTCAAACACACCAGTCACCTCATGGCTCAGAGGTGGACCAAACTAAGGGACGCTATCGACAACAACAATCTCTTTCATGTCGCTAAATTCCCGAAACAGTACTGCAATTTCAGCGGAGAATTCGTCGAAACTTATCCTGGTAGGCTATTGCATTTGAGCAGGAATAATTATAAAAGTTACCCCTGCGGTCTCAAGTCTTGAAATGACATTAAAAAAAATGACACTGGATATCGACCGGTTTGTGTTTCTCCTTATAAAACAAGATACTCCTCAATATTCATTACTACAAAAGTTACTCTTGAGATAGAATATAAGGTTTCTTTTTCTGTCCAACTTTCTTACTTTTCTAAATTTCAATCAACGTTTGCATCTCGAAAGGCTATTCTTTAAGCAGTATTGCTCTTGGTTTCGAAACTTATGTGGGATTTTTCTGAATATCCGCACTCGGTGACATTTATTTGTTGATTCTTTTACAGCTTTTGCATGGATAAAATGCAAAGATGGGGTGGACTGTGAGAAGTTGTTTAAAGGGCACAAGATTCTCACTAGGAGCGGAGTGAGATTCGGATGTGAAGCAGAATATGTGAGAGTGAGCATGCTGAGCAGAGATGATGAGTTTGAGCTGTTTGTGAAGAGGCTGCCCACCATTCATGTGGAGAATGCAAATCAAAACTAAAATCAATTTTCTAAGTCTACACACATTTACTACGCTTGATATCAAAGTTTGTTTTGGTTTTTACTGTCACTACATTTTTTTTTTTTTTTTTTTTCTCTGCACACATAGCTTTATTCAGGCAGTGTGGTGAGGAAGATCTATACTTATATACGTATCAAGTTTCATTGCAAATGCTGCACTGAGATTCCGTCTAATCATTTTGCAGGTTAAGCATTTGAGCAAAATTTTCTGCTTGATTAGAACATTCAAAATTATGTGTTCTTGGATTCTCCATTCAAAATTACTTCTATTATTTTGCTAGCTCCATCGTCTCTTCCATGGGTAGTTTATAGCATATATCTTTTTTTAATCATCCAGAAACGCGGTTTACGCTCGATAAGGGATGTAAATAAATCAAACAATTCCGATACGTGATTCGTATTCGTAAAAAAATTAGTTGAAATAAAATTAGTGTTTAATATTCGAAATTTATTCGAATTTAAATCCGAATATGCACATATTTGATTCGAAATTAACAACTAATCGATTCTTTAATCATAATAATATATAATTTAATATAATATCTATAGTATAAGATACTATTTACATAATATATGCATAAATATATTAAATATAAAACCAAAAAAAATATATTTATATTTGAAAAATCACATATAATTTAATTAAAAATATATTTATACTTAAAAAAATTTATTTCTATTTCAAAATATATTATATTTACAAAATATATACACATATTTATATTTGCAAAAATTTATTACAACGAGTTTCGAATCAAATATATTCAATTTCGTAATCGAAAATCGAATATGAATAAAAAATTAAATTTATTAATGAATGGAATACAAATACGAATAGTAAAATATATTCACAAATTTGAATCAAATAATTGATTATTCGTTTTGATTCGATTTGTTCATAATCATATGCTAGACTAACTGTGGACCCTAAGCCCCGACTTCTTAGTGACTAAGAGAGGTAAATCGCGGGATGTGCCCGAGTGAACCCCAGGTCTCAACACTACATATACTCATGGCCCTAAGAAAAAATTCTCCGTGAAATGTTGCTTCCAGAAATCAAACTTCCTACGTTGAGGTTGCAAGCCCACATATGTTATTGTTCATCACACTCGACTATGCCCTGGGGGCTTTAAATAGAAACCCAAAAGAAATTTACGGCAGGTACCTTACTACTTTTTATGCTTTGATTCTGTAACCAAGTTTATGCTTTTTTTTTTTTTTGTTAAATATAAATATATAGATAAAAAATGAGTCTGGACAACTGGTCAACGACATACAAAAGCGCTATGGGCAACCACAAGTCTGTCCTCCTTCACGTGATAAAGATATACGAGGACAACCACATGTCGGTTGGTCACTCAAAAGTCACGGAAAAAAATGTAAAAAGGGTCCCAAGGTAACTCGGCAACTCGTCGGATCGGTGGTCTTCGCGTCGATGCGCACGATGGCTAACATGGAATGGGCCACGCTAAAAAGACTTGCGCTAAATGTCGGGTCTAGCGGCGCTAGGCCTCCGGGCTAGCGGTGCTAAGGCTGATGTGGTGAGCGGTTTCATGCCAAAAAATTTCTGCGAGAAGTCGTGGTTATCGCCGCTAGACTGACGTGGCGCTAAAAAATTTATGTGACCTAGTGACGCTAAGGTTGACGTGGCACGAGCAGGCACAAGTCGGGGCTAGCGACGCTATCCGGTGCTAGCGGCACTACGCGAATAGGTGCAGCAGGCTCAGTTGGTCGCTAAGTACCTAAGCGGCTCTAGGGGTGGAGCTCTAGCGGTGCTAGTACCTGGGAACATTTCACCCGCGTCCTCGTTACCTCCTCGCTAAGCCCGTAGCGGTGCGAAGTGGGCATCTAGCGGCGCTAGGCCCCCTGCTAGCAGCGCTAGCACCTGGGGCCAGAAAGATCATCACTAAAAGTTGTTTCCAATTCAACGCATCATTCCGGGATACCATCAACCCATCCATCTCAACTCTCAAAACCCAAACACAAGGTAAGGCCCTTAGGCCGAGGCACCGCCTCTCAAACTCAACAAGCACATTAGGGTAAAGAGCAAAGACAGTGCGATATACATGAGTTTTCACCTTCTGGATCACAAGGCTTGGGGGTTGGTATTCATTTTCATAGATCAAAAGGTATTTTGCATTTCAAATGAAGTACATGGCAGTCGCTAGCGCCGCTTTCTTCAACTTAGATCTCCAACCCGCCCCTCTCGCCTCCTTCTTGGTCCATTTGAGGGCACCTTTAAGGGTCGATGGCCTATGGCGGAATACCGAATCAAGAACTATCTGTGTAGCGCCCCGTTTATTTATGGATATTTTTGAGATTATTATTTTTTTTAAGCATTATTATTTTTATTTAATATGAATTATCAAATTTATATTATTTATTGTCTAATTGTTTGAATTGCTTGTTATTATTATTTAATATTGTGTGTAATATATATATATATATCTATATATATATATATATATAATTGTTTATCGCGAGCCGTATTATTATAAATCGAACCGAGCTATTATTAATGGCTAGCAAGCCCGAGAGAACCGAACCCTCGGCCTGGCAACCCGCGCGCCCCGCGCCCATTAACTCGGACCGCCCCAACCTCTTTTGTGTGTCTTGAGGAGCAAGAATTAAACCCTAAGTCTATTAATACTTGTACAAGTTCTCCTCTCTCTCTTTACATGATCAAAACCCGCAGCTTTATTTCTCTCTTTCTCTCACGCTCGCTCGTGAACTCTTCCATCTCTTTCTCTCGCTTGATCGTGAAAGGAGAAAATCTCTTCCACTTGTAAACCCTTCCATCACTCTCGCACTCTTTCTTGTAAACCCATCATCACCATCGCTGCCCGTCATTTCCGCGATCCTACTACACCTGGTGATGAAGACCGCGTGTCCCGATTGTCGACAAGCCGCTTTCGCACCTTAAATCGCTCGATAGGTGTTAGGAGGTTCACACACTCGCGCCCCTCGAAACGAATAAAATTGCAAGAGAATCAAGAAGAAATCCAAAGCAAAGTGTTTTAACAAAAGTTTTGGTTTTGTATTAATTTTTTCGATGAATAAAATAACAAGAGGAAGAGCATTTATATAGGCATCAACTACATCTAGTCATATTCTAACTATAACTCTCATAAAGCAATAAAATATTAAGTAACCCAAACAATCTAGATATCATAATGAATCAGGAAACTAAAATATTAAGGGACCTTGATAAGCCTTGTCTTGCACTCCAAACAAAGCTCCCTAGTCGCCTCAGCCTCTCGCTGCCTAGGTCTCTCCACCGCCCGCATGCCCTCGCCTTAGTCCTCGAGGACTAGGTCGCGCCGCCTTCGCCTGCGCGTGCATAGGCATCACGCATATTGCATGCCCGTGCGTCCGCAGCGCCCTGCGCCCGCGAGTCGTCCTCGCGCCCCTGGTTCTCGCTCGCCTCTAGGAGTAAGGCAATGCTCCCAGATTGCGCGCGTGCTGCTCTAGTACGCGCATTGCATGCGCCCTCATTTCCCGTGGCTTCCTTGCGTGAGTTACTTGCACCTGACTTATCCCGCGCAGTCCCGCCCGAAGAGATTGTCGCGCGCGCACGATCTCCCATCACCTGTGCGCCCTGCTCGCGCGCCTCGCCCGACTCTCGTGCTAGCCTCTTGCGTGCGTGATAGGCGCGACTTGAGGCATTCCTGAGCTGCCTAGCCACATTCGCATCATTCCCGTACCCTTCAAGTGTTTCCTTGTCCTCAAGGATGAGATCTGGGAATTGATCGCGCATCTCATCTAGATCTCCCATGTGGCTTTCTCCGGCGGTAGTTCTTCCCACTCGACTAGTACTTCCCAACGATAACGACCTGCTATCCTAACCTGGCAATACTCAATCGCACGACTTGGTCGCATGATGACCCTTCCATCTGCCGCGATCGCTGGTAGCTCCTCACACCACTTCTGCGCTTCGCCTAAACTTCTCTTGAGCTTTGAGACATGTATTAACGGATGGATATGTGAGCTCTCTGACAGCTCTAAACGATAAGCGACTTGGCCTATGCACTTCAGAATCTGAAACGGCCCATAGTAGTGCACTCTTAGCTTGGTTGCTGCCCTTTGCGCCGTCGTACGTTGCCTAAACGGCCATAGCTCAAGTAGACATAGTCGCCCGGCTTGAAACTCTTCTCTCTCCTTTTGCCGTTCGTGAAAGCCTTTGTACGGTTGATCCTTCGAGGTTCTTCTTTAACTCTCGCAACATCAAATCTCGCTCCTCAAGCTCTCAACCTACCTCGTTGTTGATTGCGCCGCCCTCCGAGTAACTGACGAGTGTTGGCGGCTTGCGTCCGTATACTAGCTCGAACGGCGTCATCTTCCTCGAACCATGGTCGTAGTTTTTGTACCAATACACAGCCCATGGTAGATATTCTCCTAGTTTTTTGGAAATTGATGCACGTAGCACCTCAAGTATTGCTCCAGCGTGCGGTTAGTCACCTCGGTTTGCCCATCCGTCTGTGGGTGGTATGTTGAGCTTATTGATAGCTTGTTTCCTTGCAGCTTAAAGAATTTGGACCAAAAGCTGCTCATGAATATCCGGTCGCGGTCGGAGACAATTGAGCGTGGCGCCTCATGCAGCTTTATAAAATACTCAATGTATAGCTTGGCGATGGATTTTTCCGTGTAGGGATGAGTGATGGGTATGAAGTGTGCGTACTTCGTAAGTCGATCCACCACGACCATGACACCATTGAACCCATTGGAGATTGGCAGCCCTTCGATGATGTCCATAGTGATATCTTCCCAGATCGCCTCGGGTACCGACAAAGGTTGTAGTAGCCTGCTCGGTCATCGTGCGTTGGCCTTAGTGCATTGGCACTCGTCCCACCGCGCGACATAATCTCGAACCGCGCCTTGCTGCCCGGGCCAAAAGAAGGTATTGGCCATTCTCACTCATGTGTAGTACACTCCCGAGTGTCCCCAAATTTTTGAGTCGTAGAAATGCTGCAAGATTTTTTC